TCGAAACATGTTTCTTATAGGTTTTCGACAATGCTCTTTCCAGTGGCATCGTTTTCAAATATTGAGAAAGTTTTCTGAAGGGTTTTCCAGAGACCGGATTTCTGGAAAACTTCTTAGAAAACTTTTTAAAACCAAACTCTCATGCCATTAGAAAGAGGATCATGAAAAACCTATAAAAAGATGGTTCATGAAATTTTAGTTCACTCATAAAGCCAAAGTCCGCTTGCTCTAGCAAAAAAATGCCCACTGTGCGGAGAAAGGTTGTATGAGGAAATATTATGAACAAGTTTTGAACGGAGTAATTCGTAATTCTGACCGACTGGTTCATGATTTATTTCTCTAGTTTCTTCTGATGTATGCTAATGGATTTTTCTTGTTCTTTTTTAGATCGCTCATGTAAATACTTTTGTAATAACTCAAAATCAGAATGAGTTATATTTGATCTTAAGTGATCTAGTAATTTATTAATTTCATTATTAAATTTGATACTGTTTTTATGTCTATTATCATATTCTTATTTGAGACAAAAATGTTTAAAGGTACAATATTCATGAGTAGATGTGTTGTTGTTCAGAACAATATGTTCTAGATAAAGAAAGAAATTCGTTGAGTATGTGGAAGGTGAGTAATAAGTCCAATCAACTGTTCTTCGGAACCAATTCAGAACTTGCAACTTGTGGTTGAAAAGGGGATCAAAACATAATTTATCATACTCTATTCTAAAGTGTAAAGAGGTGGCATGTAAGTGGTACAAAAGTCTGACGAAAGAAAGAAACGATATTTCTAGATGAGACATATTCTGCATAAAGCAAGTTACTTACGATTCGCCCCTTTGGGTTTTCAATTCATCGCTCATGTATACGCACAAAATAAATTAAATAACTTTAATTAATTATAAATAAAACACGATCTTGATACAAAATTGTACAAGTTCGGTATCGTTATAGCCTTTTTAACTAGGTGGATTTTAACAGCTCGGTCACATCTAATAGTAGACTGAACATTATCTGTTGTTCCTTTTTTATGCTAATCAAGTAAAGCAGGATCCAATATTATCTGGATTCTCATCGAAGAGGTATGGAGGTTTTAGAAAAATTTTCTGAATCTTAAAAAACAAACTTTTCGAAAAAAACTTACTTTACGATAAAAAGATAAATGCAGAATATTTTTAATGATGCCAGGAAATAGAACAAACATTTTTGATCAAAATGAGACATCTCCCAGATGTTCCAATCAAGAGTTATGCGAGTGTTGCTGGTAGCCCTAAAACATGCATCAGATACTGGCATCATCATATCTCGAAAGCGACTTTCACCTTAACACCATTTCGTAACTGCAAGATTTCTCGTCAACCAAACATCGCAGAGAGCTCGGAAAGATTTTAGATTAAAGCTGACACATGTGGCTAGCGTCTAATAGAGCTAGATTTTTAAATTTCGATCCGGATTTGTGGTTAGGAAAATATCTTTATGCAAGTTTTTGAGACTTCTTCGAATTTTGGACTTTTAATCCTGATTATTAATTTAAAAAGTAAAATATCCAAAATCCGGCTCTATCAGCCTCTAGCCACATGTGTTTTCCTCCAACTTAAGTCCAGCCCGAGTCCTCCACAACGTTTTGTTATTGGAAAATCTTGCTGGGGCTTAATTTGACATCAATACTGTTATGTAACTTTTTCTATTTTCTTGTCTGTATATCAGATTCTTGAGCTTTAGAATGTCGATACAGATGCTTACCACAAAATAATGTATATATATCGATGTATGAGAAAATTACTTTCAAGAAGACTACTGTACCTATCAACATGATTATTGTATACAAGCTAACATCACTATCTACATTAGGCATGCAACAATCCGATAGTTTGGTCATCGAACGGTTTGTTACCGAAAGTGTTCGGCCTGACAACTTGATACGACCGAACGTGTTCGGATGAAGATTGCAAATACGATAGTTAATATTTTTCTCATCCGAGATATCGGCGGGCGTTCTGCCAAGAAACTATCAGGACAAAGTATCATAAACCTGATAGATAGCAACATGAAAATTACTAATAGAAGCTAGAAAGCCTAGACCTTTTTATAAGTCTACACTTATATGCGAAGTTTATTTTATACTCCTGATCCAGCTATCAGTTCTACGTATGTAACGGTGAAGGTGATTTCTAAATTTTATTACGAGCATGATATGCTATGTATCGATAACACACCTGTAACAGATAAAACCTGGTCAAAAAATGATCAGAACACGTTGTCTAGCAATATCATGGTCGTAATAAAATTTAGAAATCATCTTCACCGTTACGTATGTACAACTAATGGGTGATCAGGAGTATAAAGTAAACTTCACATATAAGTTTAGACTATCTAGCTTCTATTAGTAATCTTCACGTGGCTATGCACCACATGTTCTTCTTATCATCACAAAAGAAAACAACTCATGTACATTACATTACTGGATAGCGGTAATGTAATTTAAATTGTCGTAAGTTACGTTACCTCATAGTAACCTAACCTTCTCAAGTTATCCGTTACTTATAATGTAACGGTAAATTGCTACTCCTACTTTAACCAATTAAGCGTACTGTTCTTTTCGCTCATGCTGCTCTTGTTGTTTGATCTTCTCCGCCATCCATGTCTTTATTTGCGGTGAGATAATCTTCTAATCGTTTAAGTTCACTAAAAGTTCAGCAGAAATTAATGTACAGGTTTTTTAAACTTAACTGTCATATTACCGATTTGACCTTGTCGGCTTTGTTTTCGATGAATTTGGAAAATTTTCTTTATCACGTGTGTTGCTCAATGATCTTTTCTTAAAAGTAGAGAAGAAGAAACACATATATTTATTTGAAATTTTTATCACTCACTCGTTTCACTAGTATATGCCCAGTGTCCAATGTTTCATAAAATATCAATATTTGTCGGCTTTATTCGGCATTCTGCAACTTTATCGAATGAGCAACAGAAAATCCGGACTTTTTAAGAAAATCGCATAAATGGGACAGAAGTCACAACTGAACCTTTTATGTCAGTAGAGCAATTATCCGAAAAAGAAATTTTGAATATCCGATACAAGTTTTTTCTCAGACTCATAAGAAATGTTCACCATAAAAGTATACTCACATCAGTTTTTTTCATTGTATCATTTGTTGATAATCGAGAAGAAATGACCATTGCTGATGAAGGTATTGTGCTCGACTCGGTTGATATTGATGTTGCTTGATTCGTTCGTTTAGCTTGTTCATTGTCGCAGCCACTTTGAACTTCACTTTCATCGTCGTGGCAACTAAACAAAAACCTAATTACGATAGATTTTTGCATTTTCAGAGGATTGATCGAAAGAATTTGTCTGTTTCAGCTTACTCTTCTTTGGTGTCTTCTTCATTGGGTGTTGTTTTATTTTCATTTTCATTTTCATCGTCATCTTCTCCATCGTTATCATTGATTCTTAATTTTTCTGCCACGCAGAAATCACCACTAAAAATAGGGAGTAGAGTGATAGACAGAAGTAGCAGTAGATGTTATTCACATAGAACGCCAAACGGATCTCACACGTTCTCTAGCGATATCATAAATGCCTTCATCTTTCAATTTGTCATAACATCTTTTTGCGGTCATCAATACACCATCTTTTTTCAGACCATCTACCAGTGTCATTAAAATTTTATTGACATATTTTGTACGTTCCAAAATGATCAAATCACCTTAAAAGATGCAGAGGTTAGATTACGCTATTTATTATATAGTTCCTTTACCTTTTTTTTCTTTTTCTCGATCTCCACGTAGTTCGACTTCATGTGTTAAATTATCTCGTTTCAATGCATAGATTCGTCCAGAACGAATCTTTTTACCCAGTAGTTTCGGTCCAGCATCACCGTCATCTAGACCTAAAAAAAAAACCAGTCATAAAAAAGTTTTGGTAATGAGTCCTGCTTACCTTCTGTTCTATCCTTATCTCTCTCTCTCTCTCTCTCTCCTTCCTGAACAAGCTTCTGGAGCCCATCTTGAATTCGCGCACTTGCTGAAGGAAAAAATTCCTATTTTTCTTTTGCGAAAAGTTCTTCCTGAACTTTTTTAGCTAAACCGTCTGAAATCAAAATTTGATTGTGATATTGTGAGTCTCTGAATAAGGTACACTTACCAAAATTTGTCACATTGTCTGCATATTTTAACACATGAAACATCTTTAGTGAGTTAAGCATCTATCTAAAACAGAGAAAACGCTCTAAAAGTAAGACTGAACGCGAAGTTTCTGTGAATACAGCCTAAAAAGCACTTTACGTTGGTCTAGAACTAGTTTTTCCATCATTAATATCGCCTCGGAATATAGAGGAAGATCACATTTATTTTATTCGTCGCATTATTCAATTCTCTGCACCTCTATACTCGTGTTTTTTGGATCATGTTATTGTAAAACACGGATCGCCCAATCAAAAAAGTCAAGAAAGTCATTAAAGTCATCAAAACGCACACCACCAAAGGTTCGGTCAAATCAAGGCATCCATAGGAATTGCTATCCATAAATCACTGTATTTTCAACTTTTGATTAAACTTGAGCCTCTGCTAAAACAGCTCGAGAAAAATGTTTAAATAAACGAGTTTTCGAATTATGAGGCTTACTTTGAATAAAATATATAGCGTTTCCTTTCAAGTAACTTAGAAGTATACGAGAGTAGTGCAGAGAGCGCTATAGTATAAGAAAATTTCTACAGCACAGTCAGTTAGCAAAAAAAAGTTTCTTTGTCACTGTAATAAAAGAGTTTTTGGTAGTTGTTCTCTGCTCACGTGTAAATCACTAGTCAGTGACAAGACTGGAGACGCTAGACAAAACTTCTCTCTTTTTATGCTCAAAGGCTGTAAACGA